ATACAATTGGATTTGATCTCCGTACATGTGGTAACGAGCTGTTTAACACACACAAAAAAAAACACACACACACACTGGTGTATCTGTTTAAAGAGCAGCGGCAAAAACTCACACTGGAGGTGAGGAATGTGAATCCACTGGGAACGGACTGAGAACTGTCACCAACAATGATTTACAGTAAGTAAACACTGAAGACTCAAAAAAAAAAAAAAAAAAATCAGACATTAAATAACAGCAAACCTGGGCTTTCCTTTCATCAGCGTTTTTTTTTTTTTACGCTGCACAAATTAACATCTGCGTTCATTTAAGAAATGAGAGTGAAAACTGTCTGGATCTGCAACGGAGATCATTTACAAATCCAGATTCACGGATCGGGAAATCTGGGAATACTTCAAACAATAGCGAAATACATACCGACACCGGGGGCAGTATTTAACATAAGCAACGCTGCATTACATCGACGGCACAAAAGGCTCCGAGAAGAGGCATTCACTGATCCAAAGAGCACGACATGTGCACATACAGTTAGAGTCAGAGTTCACGGAGGAGAACAGAGCAGTTGTCCGTACACCAGAGGCGGGTAAATACTGGGCTTCTAAATATGAACTGGGTTAATCGTATCCCCTCGGGTGAACCTGTTGACCGAGCGCTAACAGGTTAGAGCGACTTCATAACAGCAACAATATAACTAACAAATCTGTTACCGCTTCAGAACGTCATTAAAAAATGTTGTTTTTCTTTTTAATCAAAATATTTTATTTGTGAAGTTACGATCTCGTGCTTCTGAAAACGACTAAAGAATAAAACGGTCTGGAGTCCTGCTGCGCTCGATGAACGATGCATAAACACTTCGGTCCATTATCATTTCAATTTTTTTTAAAAACAAACACTACCTCACAAGCTGTTGCTAGTTTTGACAAGTGAACGTTGACAGCTCTTAACCGACCTGCCAAAAAAAAAAAAAAAAAAAAAAAAAACTGAGCAGAGCAAACTGAGTGTTTACACACGGAGCTCTGAGGCTCCCAGTTGAAAATGTGCCTAGAAATACAAATTTAGAAACTGCAAGACCATTTTTCTTGTAAACTGTAATAAAAAAAAGTCACTCAAAATGGGCCACTGAAGATGAAGAGTAGAGAAATGAGGAAACACCAAGACGCTAACATTACACAACAGAAAGGAAATAGACATTGTTTCTATGCAGTGATGCTGCCCTCTGTTTGTATTTTCTTGTTCCTCCTGAGCCAGCAGGTGGCAGTCCTGCAAATTCTAAGCCTTTAAGCTGTCATTAAAACTATAAAAAGACGTAAACAGTCATTTTTTTTATACTAAGGTCACAGATTGAATAGAGTTGACAGAAAAAAAATGTCTGTTTAAGCAACAGTGGCTCAACTATAACAGTCATTAGCAAATGGTCGCTTACACGTGAGGCAGTAACTCTTCTTTCTGGCCGGAGGATGACAAATAACCGCCTCCTTTCCATTTGCTCAGTCCATTATCACGGAGGCTCTTGTGATTTGTCATCACTTATTACTTCCTCTCTGCGGTCAGAAGTGACGGCGGAGACCAATTTTCATGCCGGACAAGAGTCAGATCAATAAATTATTGATGAGCTTGAACACCGATATTCACTGAAGGTCTGCACAGGTCTGTTCCTTTAACTAGGGTTGTTTTCATTTTCTCTGGTGTCCACTATATTAGTTATTCATTTTGCAGACTCGTGTATTTGGAATTTAATTATATTTTTTTAATATTTAATTTTAAAAAAATGTAATCAAAAGCTGGGGTTTGTGTGTCCCTGTGGTTCTACGGGAACATCGGGGTCGTAATGATGTTTGGGGGAAATTATCGACTGGTGAACAATTAAAGGCTTTATTCAAGTAAAAAAATAATAACTAAACATATTTCTAACGTTATGTATTCCATTTCTGACAGCATTTACAAGTCTTCATTTTAATAACTCGTTCCTTTAAATGCAACTTTCCTTTTTTCTGGTGCAGTTTTTGTTATGTAAATAATCAGTTGTGAAATGACACACTTCTCTGGCTGTGCTTTCAGCACTGAATGATGAAGCTGCTCCACAGTAAACAGAGCGCTTTTATCCCTCTGCATCAGGAACATTAGTTCCGAAACTGATAACATAAAGGCCGCATTAAAATGTTCTCAGAACGTCGGCGCGTTTACTAATATGGTGTCAAAAAGCCTTTTGATTGCTCTGTTCCTTGAAGAAAGGCAGATAAGAGTTTGGGCCGTTTAACAAATGACTGGTGTCACATCAGCTGGTGGCACAGCAGCATACCAAGCAGCGCAGCATCAGGAGGAGAAAGTAAACTGTGGCCGCAGAAAATAACAATTTCACAGGGATGAAGAAGAAGCACAGTGGATTGGTTTATCACACACAAGAGCTGCCATTTTGAAAAATAAGAGAGAAACCAAAGAGAATGTGACAACATTCTTCTGGCCACTGCGTTTGTTTTTCCTTTCTTTATTAACTATGGATTTCTGAGTGGGAGGAAATGAGCAACTGCTCAATATCTGCTCAAAAACTGGCAATTTAAGTGTGAGATGGAGCCTAATATATAAGAGGAGGGTGAAGAGCAGTGGAGACGACAAACAGGAAACGCTGTGTTTGAGAGGTTACACACATTAAAGCCCTTCTAGCAATAAGGTCCAACATGGGGGGGGCAACCCCTGAGAAAGCCTGATTAGTCCTGGCAATGGTCAATGAACGTTGTACAAGAGCTGCAACAAAAACCTGCAACAGCATCCAACAGTGTCGTTATGAAAAAAGTCCTAAATGAGGTTCCATCACACACCGCCCTGGTGGCAAACTGAGGTACAGGTATTGTGAAAGTGTGTTTGAGTGTATTATAAGTGTGGCCGTGTGAATGTTTGACACGTTATCTTCAGAGACCATATCAAGTTGGTTCAACGTTTCCATGAACCCACCTGGAGACCAGACGCACTCTCTCCCACAGTAAAACCTACAACTTCTTCAGTCAGCAACAGTTGACAAATACAGTATGTTCCCGGTGTAAGACAGTCGGCTCCAGCTGGAAACTACAGTTGGTAACCACTTACTCTCCATCACCCCAGCCCAAAGGAAAACTTTACATTTCCAGCTCCCAGAGTTCCTTCTGTTGTGTTTACTGGGGAAATGTATCAGTTTGATAAATCGGAAACTTCAAATCTTAAAACCCCAAAACCCCCGCTGAACCTTCTGATTTTATATATGAAGTGTCGGAAAAGTAACCACAGGCCGGTGGCCACCTAGTGTTGACAGCAGCGTCGGAGGCTGTGGAGTCACTATAAAAGATCACGTTTGACCTGAGTGATGATTAGATCCACGACACCTTGACTTCCACACCAGAGGATGTAAACCTGGCTGTGGAGAAGAAGGTCTGGACGACTGTCCCAGTGACACAGATGTAAACAAGTGAAGAAGAAAAATGAAAGTAGACTGTGAAGGCTGGTGTTGGGTAGTCAAAGACAAACTAAAGAAATGATCTGCCCTTCTGTCTTACACCGTGATGTGGGATTGGTACAATAACAACGTGACTTCAGTCCCATCCAAAATCAAATAGAAATGTGGATAGAAATGTCTTGTCAAGTAGGCTACGGAAAAAACGTACTTCCCAGACCGACATATCCAAAACACAGGTGCGAGATAGAAAAAACAACTTTTCCAGCTCTGTTACGATGACTTAAGGCTGAACTACAACATGTTGCAGAGCTGCAAAAAAAAAATCCAATTGCACTGAGAAGGTAATGATAAAGGACCAACGTGTCAGCATTTATCTACCTATTAGCAAGCTAATGATGTCGATGACGGCGCTAACAGCATCTGCACCAATAGACAACAACACGGCTGATGAATTGATCTCAGTCTACAAGCCTCATCTAAGGCAGGATCTGGGCTTTAATTAGAAACACTGCTCACTGTACCGTGGTCCATCAGAGGTACGGTACTGTATCAACAACCACTGTACCGTGGTCCATCAGAGGTACGGTACTGTATCAACAACCACTGTACCGTGGTCCATCAGAGGTACGGTACTGTATCAACAACCACTGTACCGTGGTCCATCAGAGGTACGGTACTGTATCAACAACCACTGCAACAGCACGAGACCTTGCAATCATGTCCCGTTCCTCTGAAGGTTTTTTCAAGTTCTCCCCGATCAAGACGTGAACACAGTAAAGACAACCCCACGGGTGGACGCCCCCTCGGGTCCCGAGCCCGTCCGTGTTCCGGCGTCATGTGGAGATAAGAACACGAGGTTCTTTTATTCCAGCACTGACACCAGGAGCCCGGGGCAGTAAATCACGGCCGTATGAAGGGGTGTGGCGGCAGCAGTACCGACACAGACTCAGCAATACTCACACTTCATACATACACAATACACGGTACAGTACTGCCTGCTGCCGCAGTACAGCCGTGTATCATTCCACAGGCTTCCACGGGGGAGACTTCATTCCTAACCCACGCCGCTCTCCCATCACTACACCGACCACCACAGAGAGACGAATGCGTGCACTTGTGCGTGTCGTGGACGAACCACACGCTGCGTGGATCAAACACAGACCCCCTTCTCCCCTCCCTCCTCCACCTCCACCTCCACCACCTCCTCTCTTCTCCTGCAGGATTCAGGATGGTTAGCAGGAGCGGGGTGAGGAAACACACACACACACACCGAGCATTTAAACGCTGCTAACACGCCCCACACGGCGGCTCCTCGGGGGAATAAAAGTTGGGAACAATCGCCGGTGGCAGCGTTGACTGAGACGGTAAGTTAACATGGCGGAGTCGGTCGGTGAGATCTGCCACCGGCCGGAGCTGCGTGAACTCTTATCTCGATCCATCTGTGCACAGCCACAACCACAACCACAACCAGCACCAACACCACCAGCAGCAGCAGCAGCAGCAGCACCAACACACCGACTACTGCTTCGGCTGCAAACACAAACACACACACACACAGACTGGAGAACACCGAGGGTTCAATCAAACTGATGCTAAAACAATGAAATACATGATAATAGTATCGATCATGTTGACCCTCCCTGCCCCCCCTCCCCTGCTGCAGCTCTGCAAAGTCCGAAACAAACCAACCGCCAACGGGAGGGTCCACAAGTTTGAGTACAATTACCCGAGACACAACTTTATCCCCGCGATCCGTTCAAAGAGCCGACGCCGAGGAGGTGACACGCAGAGGAGGGGACGGGGTAGAAGGAGGTCCGAGCACCGAGCACGGGTCTAATAAAGCCTGGCCAGACAGAAGGTCACACGGATAGATGGCCGTGTCCGCAGCACGACGAGCGGGTCTCCGGTGTGAAGCCTACCTTCAGATCTCCAGCTGCATTTCACGCCAACTCCCGGCTGCGGAGATGCACACTGAGCCACAGTCCCACTGCTCAGCAGCAGACAGACACTGATCCTCCGCCTTCACTGAAATTTCCAAGCAGCCGGGTAGAGTGTGTGAGTGTGTGAACCTGAGTGTGTGTAAATGAGCAGGGGGGGGGAGATAAGGAGGAAATACGTCATTATTAATGGACCGCACGCTTTGTAGTCCTCCCAACTCTCCATCTCCATGCCAACAGCGACTACACAGACAGATTGGAATTATTTTTGTATCTTGTGTTTAATTTCTAGTATTCATTAATAATGAGGAAGATTATTTTGAGTTGCATATCATTACCTGGGTGTTTGAGTCACACAGTTTCAAATCATTACCTGGGTGTTTGATTCATTTGTCTTCAGTTTCAGTTTCATGTAACATTAATTCAATTCATTTATTCACACGTTGATCTTCCTCCTCTAAAGCCGTCTCAGATTACAGGGGGCGCTAGTATGAATCCAAAAAGGTAAAGGGCAGTAGCAGGGGTCACCCTGGACCAGTCCACTGCAGGACCACATACACAGACAACCAACCATTCACACTTACACTGATACACTGAGTTAAAGTAACCTAATATCCAATCTGCATATGCATATATACATATATATATATACACATATATACACATATATACATACATACACACATATACACACATATATACATATATACACATATACATATATACACATACATATATACATATATATATAGCTGAAGACCTTAAAATGTTAAAATATATATATACACATACATATATACATATATACACATATATATATACATATATATAGCTGGAGACCTTAAAATGTTAAAATATATACAGTATATGTCTAGAAAGAATTATACATTTTCTGTAGATTTGAAGAGGAAATATAAAAACTGAATTTAGTGACAGATAACACATTAAATTCCAGTAGTATAGTTGGTTTATTTGAGGCTCAGCTCTGACTAGGAAAAAAGTTACTAACCACTTCAAAATTATCTTTAAAATATTCTATTTTCCAAGACAAACACCTGTACAGAGAGGTACTCAGTTTGAATGAAAACTATATGTATGTCATTGTTCTGTGTGTGTTTTTCAAATACATTCTATGTGAAATAGTTTAATGTGAAGATGCTTTTAAAAATAGAACGGTTGATCTTAACCGTTGAAGGAGGTCATAAACACAAGCTGAGGGACCGGAGACAGTTGCTCCACGGGCTATAAGTGGATACAGGGGTCCTCGTTGTCAGGGTACAGTTGAGTGAAATGTGAAGCCACGGTGGGGGTAAAGCCTGAGGACCGTGACCCCCAGTCTGAGTGAGACAATCACAGCTGAATTCCTCACATTCTGATCTGAAGCCCCTTGTTACTGTCAGAGCTGTTAGCAGTGTCCACCGACCCTGGTCTCTTATCCCCCAGACTTACCCAAACAGTCGGGCATAAATCATCATGACTGAGGGACAGACAGCCTTGTCAAAATAAAAGCACACACCGTTTCCAGGCAGAAACGCCAGCTTGAATGTTTGGCGCCATCTGTCCGTAATTCACAAGAGACACACAGGGTTGTTTAGAGTTAAAGTGGCGACTTACTTGAGCAGACATTGGACATAGGGAGCAGTTTAGTTTCACTATAGAGCCCTAGAAAAACATGGCTATAGCTGTACATCAGATATTTGAAAAAAAAGTCACTGTACCAAGTTCATTGTTATTAACACAATTCTTAAAACCGAGTAAGCTTTATCCGATTAACCTACTTTCATAAATAAGCCAAATACCTCCCTCTTGTGGTCACATGCATACACTACATGTTAAATATGGAAATTACTTCTTTACATTCATTACCTAAGTTAGGTCTAGGTTAGAGAGAACATTAAGTTACGGCCGGGGTAAGAACCTAAATTGATCTTCTGTTGTAAGACGAGAATATCAATAAAAACACAAAAAACAATGAGAAATTAAAAATTGATTCATATCCATCACTGCATAAACTTAAATGTACTTAAAACACATTCGTTAGTCATTAGTCAATTCGTTTCTAGTTTGTTAATAACACAGAAAAAACATCTTTTTCTTTTTCATATACAATGGTAGAATGGTAGAAATTTTATCAAATTTATTTATTTAATAACACAGAAAAAACATCTTTTTCATATACAATGGTAGAATTTTATTAAATTTATTTATTTTTTATTTTTTTTAATTTATCTATTCTGTGCATAAAATTAAAATTATTAATTTAATTTCAACATACAGTGCATGTGTAACGGAGTCATATGTTCAAACATTCAATCCTATTATATATTTTTTAGGAAAGTCTATGAACTAAGACCTATTTTATTCCTCCTGTACCTCAGGCTTTGGTTCATGGATCTCAGTCTCTAACCCTGGCAGAATAGACCTCCTTCGTGCTGCAGTTTCTATCTTCTGTACCAGGTTCACATCCCAAGGGTGGGTTACAAAACTGAGCACTTTGCCATTCTCTGCACCTCCAGCTCTGCCAACTCTCCCTGCTCTGTGAATATAGTCCGTGAGTGATTCTGGAAAGTCATAGTTAACAACCAAATGCACCCGGGACGTGTCCACGCCACGTGAGGCAATATCTGTACAAATCAGTACATCCACTACGCCCGATTGGAAGGAGTTGAAGATTCCTGTACGCACAGACGCAGGCATCTCCCCTTGGAGACGCATGTGGTGAACCCCCAATTCGTCAAGAGCATACCCCAACCAGTTAACAGTGGCAGATTTGTTGCAGAACACCAGAACAGCATCTGCTCCTTTTTCTTGTTGATGCGACTTTAGAGCTTGGTTCAGCTCCAGGACTTTGTCAGCACCTTTCACCTTCAGGAAGGTCTGTTTGACATGTGGCATGAGGAGGTGCAGCATCTTACTTTTAATGACTTTCATGCTGCCAAGATCTGTCACATGACTGAGCACTTCACCAACACCACCAGGGAAGGTGGCGCCCACCACCAGCAACTGAGCTTTCTGGGAGAGTCCTTGTGTTTCCTGAGGACCGCGAGAAATGTAAGTGCAGCTCAGGATAGTTTGGAGCAAGTCAGAAAAGCTTGGGTCAAACATGGTATCAGCCTCATCTACAACAAAGAACCTCAACTCACTCAAGTGTGTAAAATTCTTCCTAATTGCCTTCACAAGAGCACCAGGTGTCGCCACCAAAATATGTGGATGGTCACTCTTGAAGACCCCTTTGATATGTCCAATGCCTCGGCCACCACCTACAGTCCTAGCCAGCAATCCAAACGGAGCACAGAGACGGCGGGCCACAGCGACCACTTGATCAGCCAACTCTCTGGAAGGAACCAGAACCAAAGCTCGAATTCTGCTGGATTTCTCGTCCGTCCTCAGTCTGTTAATGATCGGCAGTAGATAACTCAAGGTCTTTCCACTTCCTGTTTCTGCAGCACAGAGCACATTGTGACCTTTCATAATTTTTGGGATGACCTGCCGCTGCACAGTGGTGGGATATTTAATATTATCAGTCTCCAAAAGCTCGACCAACTCCGTGCAGATGTGAAGGTTTTTAAAGGTGGTCGTTGTTTTTTTCTCAGCCTCTTCTTCTTTGTAACTTTCAGTCACACACGGTGCCACAGAGCTGGTGTTGTTTACAGTGAAGTAGTCACCAAAGGATTTGTTGTGTTTCCATCCTTTGGAACAAAGATTCGGTTGTTCAAACTTCCCCAGAACGTATCCTGTGGACTGGTTCAAAGTAGGATTCCTGCCCTGGATCAGCAGTTTCCCGGCTCGGATGGTGGGGATCTTATTTTTGCCTCGTGTATGCTTGATGTTCTCGATGCGCTTTTGCAGATACCGAGGAACACGGATAACCACGGTGTCCTCCGTGGACGAGGCTGCGGTGGAACTTAAACGAGTCCGGCAGACAGAGGAGTCAACGGTCCAGGGAGACGAACATAGTCGAACGAGGCGGGGACAACAAGTGCTGCCAGAGGAGACTGCTCTGACCACAGCCGAGGGGAAACGACCGACTTTTACAAACTGCATTTTTGGTCTTTTGGTTGACAAAATCACGATCAAAATGTTTTAAACGCGGACATTGAATTAAATCGGAAACATTTAAGTACAAAAACAACCGTAACAACCTTAGTATCCTCCGCTCTCAGCGAGGACGCCATGCTTCATTGTCGCGTATGGATGATGTCACTTGGGCGCCTGGTGATGACGTAGCAGGGCCCTAGTATGGATTTGAGCCAAATAATAATGATGTTTTCATCACTGCTCAAACAGAATTATTTTAGAAAATCACGTCGTAGTTAGTAAGTAGTAACCTTGGACATATATATAAATATATATTTATATATATTTTGACCTTGGGAAAACCGCTGGTTAATACACGTTATATCTTAATGTTGTTTCCAAATACATTTTTAAATTTAACTAATCATAATTTTATTTTCCCTTTTGCCATACACCGCACTCAGAAATACCTTTTCTTTATTTGTATGTAGTTAAGAGGCAGAAAGGCGGAACTTCGTGTCTGCCACTGCTGAGTTGCACAAAAGGATAATCCCCGTCGCTGCTTTGCTACTGGGGAGTATAAACCAATAAAAAGAACCTAATCTCACCAGGCATGCATCCAGAGAGAGAGAGAGGCTCCAAACGGGGACAATGTGTGTCTGTAGTTTGCTCCTGTTTCTGCCTCACGGCTACAAAGTTATATATATATATGTGATATTTTTATCACTCCGTCATAACATGAAGTATACAGGGCTGCAGTGTTGATAACTTACACAGAAATCTAACGGCCTGGTCTTGTCACAACAGAACTGTGTCAGTGCTGCTGTCACATCTAACATTGATTGTGCATCAGCTCCATCAGCAATGTGTGTTCTGCATCTGTCAGTTATTGATTATTTAGAGCTTCATCACACACACACACACATACACACTCTCACTCTCACTTTCTGCCACGTTCAAAAACAGTGTGGTGTTTTTTCCGAATACTAGCCATGGGGAGAAAGTGGTTTATATTTAAATACGATGCAAATAAATACTTCGAGTCCAACATTTCAACTTAATGTCTGTTATTAGACTGTAAATATTCATCTTCCTAAATCTAACACAAGAGGGCAGCGTAGCGTCACAGAGATAACACTGTGCTGCCGGCTGTGTTGAAAATGTGAATTATTCGTGTGTACGGCGCAAGTGACATAGAACTATTTCATTAAACTTTTTTAAATCCTGCTTATCGGTATTTGTACAAATATTGGTAAAGTCTAAACCAAATCACTCTATAATCTTTACACATCAGTGTAATTCTCGTGTTGGTGCAACATTTCCTTTTTTTTTCTCTGTACACGTCATTCGCTGCAGTAGCTCAACTAATCAGCGAGCTTTTATTTACTTAGCTGCTGTTATTCTGATATAGCAGTGCTTGTGCAATTTGATATGCACTGACATTTAGGGAACGTGTAGTAAACAAACGCTGCGCTGTTTTTAATGCAGTCTGTGCAAACCTCAATGCCGGAGAAAGTGACACCTCTCAAACAGAACCATTGTGGGGGCAGACGCAGTTGTTTTGCTCCTTTAAAACTTTCTCTACAAGAACAAAATATCAAAAACCACATCTACAGCCTCCCACACGTTTTTTTTTTATTCTCCCTTTAAAGGTCATCGGTGGAGATAAGAGACTCACTCAGATAATCTGAATTACACTTGGTGGATGGGTCTGTGACTACAACACGTTCGAGAATGCCAAGTGAGGTCCACTTCATTATGTTATATTATATTATATTATATTATATTATACAGTTTTCTGTTCACTTTTTATTACAGGTGAATACAGTGACAACAGCCCAATCACAAACACAAACACCAAAAGCTTCACATTAGCCACATGTAAAAAGGACAATAAGACAATACTGAAACAAAATAAACAATTACTTAATCAAACCCTGACCTCGGATCATATTACTGTTAGTAATGAGTCTATCATTAACATGATCACCATGTGTCATTTCTGCAGACATTCAGTGCCTATTACACATTGTTATATTTTAATGTACTTCCTACTAAATGAAAAGAGATTTAAAATATACAATTTGTTTGTTTAAGCAAATAAATGTATCGTTCTGTTATGTTTTAGAAAAGAAATATATAAAAAGTAAATAAATAAATATATTATTTTAACCCAGAATTGATTCATTATCGACAGCAATTTAACAGTCCCTATTTTTGATATTATTAGCTTGATAATCGTTTCATATTTTTGCAGCTACTACCTGATTTTTGCACTTCGATCTGGCAGTAGACGTTTTTTGCTGTAGGATGTCTATATGTAAATTGACCTGAATGAATATGATGTACATGTAAGATAAGACAAATATAGTACATAAATGGGTTTCAGAAAATCAAATATATGTTAAAGGGGTTAAAACGTGTGTTTACTGCGAAGTGAGGGCCACAGGAAGTGTGATATTGATGCTTTCAGATGCATTTGTGAGCTCAGCCGGTTTGCATATACACCCACATACATGTATATGTAGCTTGGTTGTGTGAAAAATGAGAGGGTGTTGCCTGCAGTGTAAGCAATTTATCTAGAAGAGGGACTGATTTGCATCAATAATACACACGTGCAGTAGAAATTTGTTGTACACTGCTAAACATATTGAGCATTTATTTATTCTGTACTTTTTATGCTAGTATTTAATTTATGATTTTTATTGTAGGTTAATTATTAAGGTCCATGATATTTTATTTTAGTAATATGTGATAAACACAGCTTTATTGCCAACACACATAATAAAATATATCTTGTTTAATCACACTGTATCAGTACAGGTGAACCATAAAAAACGATTATTATCCATTGGTTGTAAATGTCTACAGTTATTTAAAAAAAAAACTTTTCAGTGTGCCGCTCTAAAATACCTGCACATAATGAACAATAAGGACCATATAACGATTATTTATAGGCATTTTCAGGTAATAAGTTCATCAGATAAGGTGGATGACAGTGATTTATAACCTAAGTGCCTGTATTTACCAAAAACAAAACTGAGCTTTGTCAATCTTAATCTCACCGTCGAAGCCTCAGTTCAGGGTTGATTGTTGTACGGTTTGTTTAATTACAGAAGAAAATTATAATAATAAATAATATACTACAGCTCTACCATCGTGTCTGAACACCAAAGTATTTGCTCTCTCTTCCTCTCTGTTTTTTAACGCTAAAATGCATTTATTTTTTAAAATAAAAACAAATACTAATTCCAATTTATATTGTTATTATTTGAACCTAATTTTTTTATGTACAGGACCGTGGAATGTCTAAGGCAGAAAATATTATTTTGAATTTGATGTTGATGATGGCATTGATGTTTGATGTCATGCTGTGTGAATACTATTTCTTTACAAAGAGATTTTTATGACTCACACACGTCAAGTTTTGAATATGTTTCTAATGAATCTGTTTCCAGTGTTAGGTACTAACATCTTTTGAGCGTGCTTTTTTTTAGTAGTGTAAATTACACATCAATATTATACTGACTGTTGTTACATGTATTTAATTTTTCCCCATTATAGTTTTTTGGGGAATATACTTGTAATATATTTTATTTCTAATGTAAAAATTTAGTCCATTGAGGAAACATGGGTTTTCTGATTTGGGCTATAAAAATAAAACTGACTTGATCGTTTTCACCTTGACAACATTTCTCACTTCTAATAGGAAGTACGCTCATATTATCAATGATCAGAATAACAAACTTACTGTACTTCTTAAACCCTGCAGTCACAACTGTGTCTGTGTTCTGATGCTGCAGGGTCAAAGGGCATAACAGGAACATGACGTCGCGGCCTAATGTAATCTAGTACAAGGAAGATAAGAAAGAGTGAGTGACTGCAAAGCTCAACTGATGCATTGTCAGAAAAACTTATATCAGGAAAATGTTTACATTTAAATGTGACGATTCCGACTGGAAAAAACAGTCACTGAATGAACAGGTTGTTTTTCAATGTACGTTTTGATTAGCCAAACACATGCTAGCCGTCGGTTGTTGATAACGAATTGCATCCACACAGAAGTGTCAAATCATTGTCTTTACTCCTAGCTTTGTTGCTGGCTGTAGGATTTTGCGCTAACACAAGGACGGCTTCTTTTTATATCGACTGACAGGAGAGCTGTTATTTTTATGTGTTTTATAGACCTAAATCACACGTGCGTCACTCTATAACTGTCACCTCTGGGTCCATCGCAGTTGTTTTTTTTTGTCATACGAAAGTAACACAGCTGACCTAGACTAGACTTCCACATCCTCGGGTTGTCATTTTTAATTCTTGGCTTGTTGCCAATAGGAAACGAAAACATGTGCGATTCACGTTTTTACTACTTAAATTTTCAATATTTTTGTGTTTTATGGTGGATGACCCATATTAGCACTTTTTATCTAATTTATAAACTTTCACTTACTTTATAGGTGACATTGATGACCTGCCAAATTTCCCGCTTGCCTCTGACGTTAATAAACAAGGGCTCACCATAGTGTGGTGTAACAAGTTTGTATCCCAAGTGAACATAAAACCATATTAAACATTAATATTACGATAATTTAAACTCAACGTTTGTCAATGAGGTTTTTTTTTGTTTGTTTTATTTTATTATTTATATAGTTTAAATCCTACACAGTGTACCTTTAAACGGATAAGCCCTTCACGAGCAGCTGACTTTTCTCACTCCTCTCTGTACTCTCAGAGGCTTTTAATAAACTGTTTATTAACCGAGGAGCGGCGTGTGCGCGCGTGTACGTGCGTGCCCTGTGTTGTGTCTGCTGACGTCACCGCTGCAACTGCCTTGTCACGCGGGGTTAGTAAAAGTTGGGATAAAGCGAGAGAGAGCGAGAGCGAGAGAGAGAGAGCGCGAGCGAGGGAGGTAGAGAGAGAGAGAGAAAGAGAGAGAGAGAGAGAGAGAGAGAGAGATCGCTCCCATAGGATTTTTACAACGCACTTTAAACTACAGTAGAGTAATAAAGAGATAGAGACGACACTGACTTGTTTGTAGTTGGTGAAGAAAGAGAGGGAGAGAGAAAGCGAGTGAAGGATAGGCTCAGAGAGATAGAGAGAGATAAAGATAAATAGAGAGAGAGAGAGAGAGGCGGGCTACTTTCTCTGAAGTTGAATGCCGTAAAACGCTCGTTAAAGCCGGAGGAAGCGGCCGGAGCTGTCCCTGTCATTTTTTTCTGGATTTTGTTTAACCGACAGGGACCAGACGTTGTGTTTTTTTCTCGTCTGCCTCAAGGCTCGCAAGTGTAATGAACGGTTGAAGTTGAGTTCGGAACTCAGTCGGTCAGCAGTAGTGTTTGTGAAATAAATGTTATGACATTTTAGGAGAGCGTTCATTTCGCTCCAGCGGTCGACGGTCGAGTGGGGGTAACAACCCAAGCTGTCAAACCCGATGACTACGGCAAACTGCCCCGGGAATGATGAGCTGGACTTCAGACTGATCTTCGGAGAGGACGGGCAGCAACAGCCGTTAGGCCCCACAGGTCAGTGGCTTTCTCTCTGCGACTCTGTCCACTGACATCTTTCGTGCACTTTGTCAACTTTAACCTCAACTCCAACTGTCTTTCTTACTGTCGTTGTGGACTTAACTCTGCAGCTTACGACGTTATACTATGTGCTCTTAAAAAGCGGAACCGACTCTTACAAAACTGTTCTGGATTTTTTGTGTGTGTGTTACCTCTTGTTTAGTGCTAGTGCAAACTTAACGTCTGGGTCCATGCAGTGGTCACACAACAGCCAATGTCCCCAACGCCGGCTGTCATTAGCCCGTCATGCTAGCTACTCCGCATAATTGCAGTGTTTTACTTGGTCAAACTATGAATAACTAAAATCTACGAGGGCTTTTTTTATCACCACAACATAGAACTGGTTAACAACGTGTAATGACGTAGACTTGCCGTAAATGCTGAATAAGTAAATACGACGCAATGGGGACAAATGTAAAATGTCACATTATGTATGTACAGTAGCGCAAGCTAATGTCTAAAAGTTACTTTTTCAAATTATTTTTTCAAATATAGGTTGAATCGCTTATAAAGAATAATTCACTGCATTGTTATAATAATGTTATAATAATGTTATTTTATCAAATTTCTTCCCTAAATGTTCAACAACTGGTTATTACTAACTTCATATCAAAATAAACAAATTCACATTTAAATTTACTATTCTCATTTGTTTTACTGCTGCACACATTGGCACATTTTGTTAGCTTTGATATGTATAAAATGAACCATTATAGGAGGTAAAATCAGTAATGTACTGTAGTTATTAGTTGTTAGTGATGGTTAATAACAGTTTTGTACAAAGTTAGTTACAGATGTACTTAATTCCCGGAATATTATTTTCTACATTATTTTATAAGCAGCATCAATACAACATTCTAGCCTAACAAAATTAATTTATTCGGTGCTTTACCATCCATTCTCAAATGTTACAAACATGGAGACACAATAACGACGTGTCAGCCAGTTATAGTCCTTCTCTAGGTCCCAGCAAAATGACACTTGATGGTTTTGGTCATAAACCTTGAAATTCAGTGTTTATGCATCGTTATTACACGTTGAATAATCAAATCGGTAACATATGAGCCATATAAGCCATTTAAAAAAAAATATAGTAACACTCTAGCCAATGTGTTTTAAATTAGCAGTTTAGTAATTAATGTCAGTATCTTTTGTGGGAGAATACAGTAACATTATTTCATTTCGAGTTATTGTATTATTGAGATTGTATTATTTGATGGGTGAAACTGTGAGGATTATGGTTTGAAGAACAGATCGACAGAAATGATCCTGTGTAAAGGAAGAACAGATCGACAGAAATGATCCTGGTAAAATGTGCCAAAAAAAAATTACAATTAGACATTAGTGTGCCTAAAAAGAATTACAATTATTACATTTGTTAATGTTATGTTTGGGTAACTAAACTTCCACGACTCATTTATTTGTTGATTGCAGATATTTAAAACACTTGACATTTAAAAATCTGGTATTCATAAAGCAGGTGTTTTCTGACGCACATGCCAACAACAGTAATTGCAAAGAGACAAATTGAATCACATGATGAAAACCAGTTGGGACAAAAAAAAAAAAGAAGTTATGGAAACGTTCAGTTATCATGCATTGCTAACTCAAATCGTGGAACAAGTTGCTTTTTTGGCCCTTTCGCGAATTCTTGGTAAGTCGTTTCTGCAAAAAAGTTTGGCTTTTGGTATATTAGATCATATTTTCCTTTGATTAAAAAATCAAGTTAAATTTGGAGATGGGGTGAGGGAAAAACTGCAGTTGGAATAAGTGAAGGAATAAAAGCACCACTGTGCAAAATGCCTTTAATCTGGTGTAGCCCGTATGAGTTGGCCCAAAAGAGGGGGCCGGAGGGGGGGCGGTTGTCCAAATTAATAACTGAAGTGTAACATTGGATCACACAGCCACAGTAACAGTAACAGTGAGTTGCCTCTGCATTGGCCTCCATCTATAGAAGCAAGACTCCGGCTTGGACTTGTTTTTGTAACATCCCCTTCTGTAAACATTTACACTGCCTCAAGATTTTAGCTTTGTTCAAATGAGCGGTGTCTTCTCCTCGTATATTTTAGTAGCTAAACTAGTATTTTACAATAACCTTCAAAGGCTGAGTGGGTTTTAGCAATGCCTGTCTAATTATTTAAAAAAAAAGTAAAATAATAAAAACAAGTCATTTATGGAGGTGCAGCGTGGATGTTGCTATCCTCTGCATTTTACCCTTTGTCTCTTATTATCTTTTAGTTGTTGCTTTTTTTGGTTGTAGAATGTATGTACAGGGTTGATCGTTTCCCTTCTCTCACTAATATCGTACAATGAAACAGCGTCTTACACCACTGTTATATTAAGAGACAACGAACAATCAAGGGTTTTCCCCTGGATTCCCTGTGCAAATTAGCTTAACTGTAAAGTACGATAAGGTCATTCCTATCTGTCTGAAGGGTTTGTTCAAACCAATACAAAAGCCTAAATTAGTAAATTAAACTGTAAATCAAGAAAGCAGGTAAACAAGGTTTTGTTGGCAGCAGCCTTTGTTTAGTTCATCAAACCAAACTCCTCAGGGCTTCTACCTTAGAAGTACCTAATTATTACAAACTTTACCCAAGATCTCTAACGCAAACTCAAGAACAGAATTCTAGTCTATTTGAAAAGCGCAGTTTGAAGTAAACTCCAAAGTGGTTTGTCTTTTAATTACTGCAGCCTCGTCATTCTTCAATACAGCTGCAGGTTAAATACTCAAATGGTCCTGTATGAACAGTCTCCCTGCTCCGTGAATGTGAGGTCACAGAGCTTCTCAACAAAATACTCAAATGGTCCTGTATGAACAGTTTCCCTGCTCCGTGAATGTGAGCTTCTCAACATCATCTGCAGGTGAATCGCTGCTTCAGCCAAACTGGCATTGTTTTACCAGTGTTAATTTGGCCTTACAGCGGCAGGCAGCAGGGCACAATATAAGTCAGGGGCAAATCCCTGCATTCTCAGAGCCCTCTTGTCTGCGGCCGATACACCAACCCCCCACAGAGAGGATGCTGTTAACAGCATATGTCCTCCTCAGACTCAGCAGTAGATGTAGACACCAGCGTAAGCTGAAGCTAAGGCTGTAGTTGCACATTACAGAGTAGTTTTTGCTAAATTAAAAAAATGTATGTTGTTTGTGACCATTAACTGTTAAAGAAAAAGAAGTTTTTTTTTTTTGAGTAAGCTTTTCTGATGTGTGATGATGACATGATAATCCAGGACACCTGTGATCTTAAGCCATGGGACATGATAATCATGTTCCATTTTTGTGAAATTGTTCCATTTATTATTATTATTAAGGGGAAATCCTTTTTGTTTATTTTTGATTATGACAATTGTTTTTAACCTTTTGTAATTGGTCTGATGGTGTGTAACATTGCTAGCATAGGTTAAGTCACGTGATACAATACAACACCTACTGTAAGTGAAGTAAGTGAAACTTAATTATTTATTTAATTTGTGTAATTATACAGAGTTTTTTGTAGTTCGTAGTTTTTCTAAGTAGAAGTCTATTATACTTTTAAATATTGTTAGATTTAAAATTATTATAAGCTGCTTAACAGAGCAGTTTATCAACCCTACTGTCAGGTGTCCTCGTCATATTGAAGCTCCATTGTTTAAGTGGTCTAACACAAAAAAAACTAAATTGTCTGAAAAGTTGTGTTCAGAGTTGTAGGTTTGAGGTAGACACAAAGCCAGAAAATTTAAACAACATACAATGATGCAAATAGTATAAATATAAGATATAAAATAGATATAAAACAGATGCTCTAGGTATGAGTAACAACTTTTACGGTAAAAACCTTTCATATTTTCAAAAAACACAATTTCCTGTTACACCTTCTGGTCGAAGGTCTTGAGCAACCATGTCACTTCAGAATTCATTATGAAACTTTCTCTGGCAGCTTGTGTGTAATAGTTTTCACCCACTGCGACGTGTGTCCATAACTTTGGTTCTGCGTACAGGTGTACTACTATTACTGAGGCAAATATGTCAAACTAATCGTGGAACATCATTCCTTACACTGTTTTGAATGTGGTTTTATGAATGATAGTCTCATCTTGAAGTGGGTTACAACATGTTGGGCTTATTCCTAAAGGACCACTTGCTCCATTTGCAGCGTAGCGCTGGTTGTAGCGTCTACGAGAGGTAGAAATAGGTAATGGTGAGTATTGTCTCGTGGAGGTCACGAGCACTGGTCTCATTTGGTGAGTGGAGGGAGGGGTCGTTGGAGAAATAGAGCCACATTGAAGGTTACTGGCACTTGGCCCAGACATGCCATGTGGGGTTCAGATGGCAGGGTGCAATGAAAGGGAAGGGAAAACACACTGTGCTGCGGCAGCTTTAAGTTGTTCATCTTGCTTTGGCAGGTTTGCATAATTTTCTTCTAAGACATTGCATGATTTTTTTTTAGTGTTACATGTTAAAAGAAGAACTTTTTGCTGCTGTTTTAGTAGCAAACGGTTTGTCAAAGATTTATTTCCTTCTGCAGTGCTTTCTCAGGACATGAAAGAGACCACCAGTGACTTCAAAAAGACTGATATAGCCTAATGAAATCTCCAGATGTCAGCAGTCACCACGACCATTAAGTCACTAGTCAGGTTTGATTTAGTTCTGCTAATCTGCTGTGACATTCTTTGTACCAGTAACATTATCCTGATAAGATAGACGATAACATGCCCAGCCACATTTTAGCACAATAAAATGACTCAACTCAGAGAAGAGGATGGAGAAAGTCTGTGTCCCTGTCTGTGTTGTTGTTGTAACGGCTTTGAACCAACGGGAGATTCTTTTCAGGCACCCATTCAAACCTGCTATTTATATCTGTCATGGTCGATCCAATCACATGCAAACCCCCAAAATACTTTTTCATGAGTGGCATTAAAATGTGCCTGAGACGAGTCTCGTGTGACCTCATGTGATCTGGCGTAACATCCGTAGGTTG